ATTAATATTAAATATATATTATAATCATATAATATAATATTATAATTATATTAGATTTTATTTCAGCTTTATTTCAATTAACGAAAATGATTTTTGATTTATGAAGAGAATATAAGTCTGAAGGATTTCTGACCTTTGGTCCATAAAAAGCCCCGTCTCCTGGATTGAGCTTCCACGGCTCTCCGAACTCATTCAGGCTGTTCTCCAGTTGCTATGAAATAATAAAAACTCAGTTAATACTGCACAAAAACAAACAGCTCAAATGTTAAAGACAGCAGGAAAAATGCTATTCTGGAACCTTCTCGGCTTGATTCCACACAGCAATATCGCCCAGAAACTTCTCCGGACGCGTGGAGAGATGCAGCTGGAAGGAGAAGCCGAAGACATCGTAGACGCAGCGCAAGACATCCAGACAGCCCTTCATCTCCGACTCGATCTGAAACACAACGAGCAAACAATTAGGTTCCGTCTCTTTAAAGATCTAAATCAGCTGTTGAGGTCTTCATTAAAGGCATTACAGGTAATTGTGCGATTCGCGGTGGAGTAGATCAAGCTTTTTTTTAAAAATTAATTTCATTTAGTTGAAAATTCATGTACTAAAACTAAAACTGAAATAAAATTCATAAAAACTAAATTGACATATTTAAAAAAAATAAATAAATAAATAAAAATGACAAAAGCTCACAATAAATTTTATTTAAAAATTAGTAAACTTTTACTAAAATTTAAATGAAAAAAGTGAATTAAAGCAATAAGCCCCAAGAAGCCGTGGTTTACAGTGAATTTAAAAACAGCTAAGTTTAGAAAACCCCCTTAGCTGTTATAAATTCACTGTAAACCACAGCTTCACGGGGCTTATTGCTTTTATAAAATGGTTATTCCATATACGTAGTAAGGTTTCACAAAATAAAACAGAGCAAATAAAGTGTAATGATATTAATAAAAACAGTATTCTTCCACCAAACAATGTAGTTCCTCAGAAACAGTTGTGGTTGCAACAAAGTGGTTGCCAAGCAACACACAAATGTAAACAAAGGTGTATGTTACTTTGTAGAGTCATTTACAACAGCTTCGAACGCGGCTCAGCCAATCAGAATCAAGGACCGGAACTATCCGTTCTATAAATAAAAATTAACCTAATTCAAAATATTTTAGCATCTCAAAGATACTAAAGGAGCGCTGCACCTGATCCATAGTGCAGAAAATATGAGCGTCGTCCTGCTGGAAGCGCCGGACTCTCGTGAGGCCCGTCAGCGTCCCTGAGAGCTCGTTACGATGCAACACGCCGAAATCAGCCAATCTGAGAGGAAGCTCACGCCAGGAGCGCGGCCGATGACCGAACATCAGACTGACAGACAGAGAAAGAGGAGGAGAGATGAAGGACATAAACAAGCAGATAGATAACAATAGATTAAAAACAAGAATATTGCATGAGCAGAGAGAGAATATTAGTCAGTCAGTAAACACCCAAACTACGGTGATACTACAAAACACTGCTAAATAATATACTAAATAATATCCAATGCAACTTATTTTAATACAATATATAATATTGTATTTTCAATATATAATCAATATATAATTTTCAACATTTTTTTAATACAACAAAATATGTATCTTTATCTACAGTTTGTCAGTAATCTTGTATTTTAATCATTTTTTCAAAAAGTAAATTTTCAATGATTTTCAGCTTCAGTCGGACATTATAACTTGTGATTCAATGAGTCATTTGAGCCCTGATTCAGACTGAGTTTGATCCAGACTGCTTCAACAATCAGTTCAACCAAGAATTGTACCAATTAAGTGATATGTTTGATAATCAGACAGCATATTATGCTATATTGCACTGTAAAGAAAAAATGGTGCCGACCATTTATTGTCAATATATGATTTCATAGCATCCATTTTTGTCTTCAAGGCATGACACTACAGGAAACCCAGTGTTTTTTCATGCACTGGTCAATTTTGAAATTTTTGTCTATTTTGCTTCCATAACATGTCTTCATTCAGATTAGTGGGGGGAAAAAAACATCCAAAATACACTTTTGAGTGTTTGTTTTATTGCAGTTTATCTATTTGCGAATTCATAGCTTTAAAAGTTTTTTCTCCACTTCAGCAGCACTTGCATACACCAAAACTTAGAGATTTATTCCTCCCTATATTCTGAAGGTTTTTACTGAGGGGTTTGTTCATAAAGCATTCACACTGATTTATACAACATTTTATCCCTAAAAACATGGCGAAAACGCATATCTTTAAAGGCTGTGAGTTTGTCTCTCCACTTCAGCAGCACTTACAAACATCAAAACTTAGAGATTTATTCCTCTCTATATTCTGAAGGCTTTTACTGAGGGGTTTGTTCATATATCATTCACAATGATTTATACAACATCTTATTCCTAAAAACAAGGCGAAAATGCATATATGTAAAGGCTGTGAGTTTGTTTCTCCACTTCAGCAGCACTTACAAACACCAAAACTTAGAGATTTATTCCTCTCTATATTCTGAAGGTTTTTACTGAGGGGTTTGTTCATAAAGCATTCACACTGATTTATACAACATTTTATCCCTAAAAACATGGCGAAAATGCATATCTTTAAAGGCTGTGAGTTTGTTTGTCCACTTCAGCAGCACTTACAAACACCAAAACTTAGAGATTTATTCCTCTCTATATTCTGAAGGCTTTTACTGAGGGGTTTGTTCATATATCATTCACAATGATTTATACAACATTTTATCCCTAAAAACATGGCGAAAATGCATATCTTTAAAGGCTGTGAGTTTGTTTGTCCACTTCAGCAGCACTTACAAACACCAAAACTTAGAGATTTATTCCTCTCTATATTCTGAAGGCTTTTACTGAGGGGTTTGTTCATACATAATTCACTTGGTTTTATTATTGCACTTTATCTATTCGCGTATGTAGATTTTTAATTGCAATTCTTATCTTTAAAAGTTTTTTCTCCACTACAGCAACACTTACATTCACTAAACTTTACAGTTTTATTCCTCTCTATATTCTGAAGGCTTTTACTGAGGGGTTTGTTCATATATCATTCACAATGATTTATACAACATTTTATCCGTAAAAACATGGCAAAAAGGCGTATCTTTAAAGGCTGCGAGTTTGTTTCTCCACTTCAGCAGCACTTACAAACACCAAAACTTAGAGATTTATTCCTCTCTATATTCTGAAGGTTTTTACAGAGGGGTTTGTTCATACATAATTCACTTGGTTTTATTATTGCACTTTATCTATTAGCGTATGTAGATTTTTAATTGCAATTCCTACCTTTAAAAGTTTTTTCTCCACTTCAGCAGCACTTACACACACCAAAATTTAGTGTTATATTCCCCTTTATTTTCTGAAGGTTTTTACTGAGGGGTTTGTTTATATATTCATCACACAGATTTATACAATATGTTTTTCCTAAAAACATGGTGAAAATGCGTTTTTATCTATCTCTTGATAGCATTTTCTGATTTCTGGAGTGATAAAAGTGAAATCCAAAATCCACTCTGGAAAAACCTTTAACTCTAATATGGCAACCAAATCAAACAGGAGTTTTCAATCTGGCTTTATCCAATGTCTAGATGCGAATGAATGCATATTTAACTAGATAATGCATCATATTTAAACATAAGATTTCAGAAAACTCTGTCTTAATGTACTGTTATTAATCAACTGGGGAAATATGGTGAGCTCTATTAGTTAACATTTTCACCCTGTTCACCTGTAGTGTCCTGCCTTTAGAGATTAAATCTAGTCCAGCATAGAGTTGTGGTTTACCAGTGTCCGGGGCAGTTCATGGGCTTCAGAGCGAAAACATCCTGCTCAACGGGGAAGGAGAACATGTTTTCACTGTAATGCTGCCAGTGACCCGACGTCTCCCACAGTTTGCTGTTATAGATGTTTGGAGACGCCACCTCCTGAAAGCCACGTCTGCTGTATTCCTCCTGCACACACACACACACACACACACACACACACTCACACACTCACACATGAACGGCTCTGTGGGATTCAGCGTTTGACTGTGCTTTAGTGTGAGCTCGTATGCTGACGTACCCTGATGAACTCCGTCAATGTGTTGTAGATATAAGCTCCTCGCGGCAGAAAGAAGCAGCTTCCTGGACTCAGATCGTGGAAGAAGAAAAGTTCTTGATCCTGCAAATCACACCACGAGAGAGCGAGATCTTAACAAGCTCCTTCAGTCACACAAGAGGAGGAAGTGACATGCGTCGCTCCACGGGAGGTGAAGAGACACGTCTGATTGGACAAACTGGCTCCAATTTAAAACAACCACAGTAAGTACAGTACAAGATAATGCACTATAAACCATATGGCACGGCTGTTATATGCAGTATAGAAGATTTTAATGAGGTAAGAGAACTCAAGTAAAGAGGGATAAAAAGCGAAAGCCGTTAGTTTTGTGTAATTAGGAGCTTTCAGCTGAACAGAACAAGACGGACACCAACTGATCCTCACAGGAGCCGAGAAACACATTAAGAGACGCACGTCACACGGAAATATTTTTTAAAAAGCCGTTCAAGATGAAAAAATTTGAACAGCTCATTCTGAAATCAACATTATGAAAATGAACTACATTTTTGCATTTTCCGAACAAAATTCATTTTGCATTTCTTTTTAAAACTGCACTCCATGATACAAGGGTCTATGGAAGCGAATAATTGAAAAGCTAATAATTAATTAAATCATAAACATGTCAATTACAATAAATAATTATAACATAAAACAATCAAAATAAAACACTAATATTAATTAAATCATAAAAATGTAAAATTAAAATAAATATTTTTTAAAATAAAACACTTACTAATAATTAAGTCATAAAAATGTCAGACAAATAATTTTAAAATAAAACAATTTCTAATAAATATTTTTTAATAAAATACTAATAAATCTAATTAAATCATAAAAATCTAAATAATTTTCATCAATATATATAAAAAAACTTTTATTGGAATCAATAATTTTATCAAAAATAATTAATAATTATCAAATAATTAATTATTAAGTCATAAAATGACATTAAAATATTTTAAAATAAAAATAAAACATTAATAATTAATTAAGTCATAAAAAAAGACACAAATGTTTTAAAATAAAATAAAAATAGAACACTTACTAACAATTAATTAAAATCCTAAAAATGTCAAATTAAAATAAAGAATTTTTAAATAAAACAATGAAAATAAAACACTTTATTTTAAAACCAGATTAAATATTTCACGTGTTTATCTGCTTGTCATATGACCATTATCCGACATCACAGAACCGGAACATGTGAACGTGTTGTTAAATTACTGAAATATATTGACTTAAATTAATCTCAGAATGACTTCAAGTAAATATTTGAGCTCAAAGGGGTTCAGCTGATGACAGAGTTTGGGAATCCGTGACTTGGATCAGTATAAACCAGAGGGAATCATTTATTCCAGCTCTGACTCTCACACACCTTCCCGATCTTGCGATGGTCTCTGTTTTTAGCCTCTTCCTGGAAACGTTCCCATTCCTTCAGCATTTTGCCGTCAGGAAAAGAAATCCCGTAGATTCGCTGGAGCGTCTCCATGTCCGAACGGCCTTCCCAGTACGTGGATGAATTCTGAACAACATCACAATATCACATTAATATCACACTATAAAGCCATTTTATTGCAGAACTGCAGCTCTAAAGCATCTGTACTTGCATTTGGGTCAAAGACAAATAAGAGTTTAAGCATAAAAACAATAAGTGTAATACTACTTTAAATTGTTGTTGTTTTCCCCAAAAAATGTAAAAAGTTTTCCGTTTAATTTAATTGCAATTTTGTTTTTGGTTTTCCGATCAAAAAATAAAAATAATACATTTTCCCCTGATTTACAGAAGACGCCCACTAAAATGTCATTCAGTGTAACAATCTCGTCAGGCACATTTACAACAAAAATCAATCAATGACATATTAAAAGACTAATTACTTTCAGCATTTTGCCGTCAGGAAAAGAAATCCCGTAGATTCGCTGGAGCGTCTCCATGTCCGAACGGCCTTCCCAGTACGTGGATGAATTCTGAACAACATCACAATATCACATTAATATCACACTATAAAGCCATTTTATTGCAGAACTGCAGCTCTAAAGCATCTGTACTTGCATTTGGGTCAAAGACAAATAAGGGTTTAAGCATAAAAACAATAAGTGTAATACTACTTTAAATTGTTGTTGTTTTTCCCCGGATATCTTAACGTCTTTGACCCATTTATTTTACATCAATCAAGACCAACGTGCTAGTGCTGATAAAAACAGAAGTATAAGCGTTGTTTAAGATCATATCAAAACCTGTAAGAGTGATCTAAAGGTGTCTGAGTACCTTATAGATCTTGAGCGCTTTGATTTTGCCGGTGTGTCGTACATGCGGCCCGCGGCACAGATCGATCAACGGGCCGCATCTACCAGAGGAAGAATATGAATTCATGACGGAAAGAGGCTTTATAGCATCCGTACGGAGAAAGCAGACGTCCTGCGTTACCTGTAGACGGTGGTGGTGGGAGTGGAAACCTTCTCATTCAGGATCCGACACTTGAACTTGTTGTACTAGAAAAATAAAAGCAAATGTTTTCATTTCATTTTCTCAGCGTCCATAGAAAAACACTGCGACCAGGTTGATCAGATGACAATACCGTGGTACTATGATTTAACGTAATATATACCATGGTACTAAATAAATATCATATTCATATGCAGTCTTAAATATGGTTTTTCGAACAAGAACATCATAAAAAAATGGTTGTAAATGTACGGTTTGTGTTTCATTTTTCCCCAAATTATATGTTTTCCGTTTTTATTTTTCTGGATTCCGTTTTAATGGTTTAATTACATTTAATTTTCAATAATTTATTAAAATTGTAACAATAATAGTTCCCTATGAAATGTGCTTTATTCTTTCCCAAATTAATTTTTTCCTCATTTTTATTTTTCTGGATTCTGTTTTAATGATTCAATTAACCAAAAAGCATATCTAATCAACAGAATTTATAAAACTTTTTAAATGAATCATTTACATTTTTAATAATTTATTAAAATTGTAACAATAATAGGCCCTATGAAATGCGTTTTATTTTTTCTCAAATTATTAATTTTTTTTCCAGGATTCCATTTTAATGGTTTAATTAAATTTTAATAACCAAAAAGCATATCTAATCAATAGAATGAATAAAGCTTTTAATTTTTTATAATTTATTAAAATTGTAACAATAATAGGGCCCTATGAAATTATTATTATTATTTTAATTTTCTGGATTCCATTTTAATGGTTTAATTTAATTTTAATAACCAAAAAGCATATCTAATCAATAGAATTAATAAAGCTTTTAATTTTTATTTTTAATAATTTATTAAAATTGTATCAATAATAGGGCCCTATGAAATGTGTTTAATTTTTTTCTAGAAATTCTACATTCTTTGTTTTATGATTTAATACAAAATTATCAAACATGGTGGTAATCAAATGAAAATGTAACAATTGTAGTGTAGAAATAGTTTCACTCAGAAATTGCTAGTAAATTGCACAATTAATTATAAAGAAACCGCAAGCAACACACTGAAATAAATGTGCGATTTTTAAGTAGAAGGACTTTATATTATTTAGGGTTAGGGTTAGAAAAAGCTTTTACAAAAAAAAAACTTTTTAAATTAAAACGAGAACGAAAAATTGTGGTATTTCCTAAATAATGTTTTAATAAATTATATTTTTATTATTACTTTGAGAAGTACAGTTTACTGTACAACAGTAATATATTTCTGTAATAATTTCTTCAATTTAAACCAAGCTTTTATTTTTGGCGGGTTGTAGTGAAGACTGTTGATGTGATGAAATAACTATTAACGCAAACGGAGCGATTCCTCACCTTAAACATCTCAAGCAGCGTCTCCTTACTGATCTCCAGTCTCTCAAAGGGTTGCTTGTCCTTCATGATGCTCCTGCAGATGTTCTCCAGATCTCCAAACTCTGTGCTGGACACTCCTCTGTGAACAAACAGCAGATACGCTGAGCTACAGAAGCTCTGCTCAGATCAGACGGACGTCGAACACCTCCACTCACTTCTGTCCGTCCAGGAACATGTCGTAGTAGAAGCCGTTCTCGATGGGCGGCCCGTAGCACAGGCATCCGCCGTAGAACTGCTCCATGGCCTCGCCGAGGATGTGAGCGCTGGAGTGCCAGTAAACCTGAGACACACAACAACATCTGTTCATGTACATTCAGATATACCTTCAGCAGTCAAATATGGAAGTGTGGTGAGTAACCGACGGCCTGCGCGTCCTCGTGGGCGAAGCGCAGCAGCTCCAGACTGCAGTCGGTCTCCAGCGGCCGGTCCAGATCCCACAGCTCTCCGTTCACACGCGCGATCACACAACTGTCCGCCAGAGCCTGACTACACACACACAAACAAACAAAAAAACATCAACAACACTGACATATGCTGCAGAACATTTAAGTCATTTTTAAGGCTGTGAATGTTAAGAGATAGAAAGATGTGTAAAACCTTTCCACAAAATGGTTAAAAAAAACAAAATAGTAAGGCTTGTGTTGCAAAACATTAGAGTATGACAATAGCAAAGTCAAAGTCATGGGTTTAATTTCCAGGTAATGCATGAACTGATAATTAATGCAATGCATGTCGCTTTGAATAAAAGCATCTGCCAAATGTAAATATGAAACTACTAAATAGTGACAGATGTACAGATCTAAATAAAGAAATACATTTTAAAATATTAGTGATAGATCTATTTTTTTAAATAATAATGTATAAAAAAAATTTGGGGGGAGGGGCAGGGTTATTATAGTTAACTAAAACTAAAAGAATAAAAAACATTTCCATTACTTCAAATAAAATAAATGAAATTAAAAAAAATCCAAAAGTATGAATATGAAAGTGAAACAAAGGGAAGCGATATTGATGCATAGTGTATTATTTTGACGTGACGTGTAGCCAAGTGTGGTGTCCCATACTCGGAATTTGTGCTCTGCATTTAACCCATCCATTTCAATGATCTTATAAGCATTTGTGAAATAATTATATAAAACTATATTACCAGTACAATACACATCAACTTATTTTATGTATTTATTTGTCAAACTAATGCAAACTGAGCAGAAAGAGGATTAGGCTTAAAAGATTTCTTATCCTATGACTCCATCTGGTGGACAACCTTAGTATTACAGCCTTCATCTGCTTGTAATCTGTCAGAATGACTTGTTCTCTATATGTAAAAAAGTTTAGAAGAGTTTGGATAATGCACTTTAAAGATACAAGAAACTTACTGTTTCCTTTTTTTTACTGTTATTTTAATAATTCGCCATGGCAACACCGTTCAAGATATCCAAAACCCGTTCACAATTTAGCATCTTCAGTATCTTGGCATCATGTTGACAAAGTTTGGTGTGAACTGCATGATTCTCCTAGGAGGAGTATGCAATAACGCACAGCCTGAATTTTCCAAAAATCCACATTCAAACCAAAATAGCCGACTTCCTGTTGGTCGTAGCTAATGACTGTAAATTAGAAAATTGTCCGGCTTGATGAAAACAATATATGTACTGAGTTTGGTGTCTGTAGGAAAAAGAAACCCCCCACTTTTGTCAAAAGGTGGCCCTATAGAGCACCTGCTCCACGCCCATTTATGAGCTTTTGTCAGTGTCTAACCTGGGGCAATTCTAGGATTTTCATTTTAGGGGGGCTCAGCCCCCAGTGAGGATATGATAATAATAATAGCCTAATAATAATACAAAAAAATATATATTATTATAAATTATATATTATAATTTATATATATAAATAAAATAAGAAATGTTTGATTAATAGGGGTCGTATACTAAACAAATTTTACTGTTTGCATTTCTAGTACAACCCTCTTTCCTTAGCTCAAGAATGCAAACCTCTTTGCCACATGCACTGGAATATGTATTATATTGAAAGTTACATTTTCAAATGAAAATGGCAACATGATCGTTTTATAAAGTATGTGTTCATATGTGCTTCATTTTCACTGGAGGAAACAGCTGTGGTGTGATGAGGGGTGAACGCAGTGAAAACAGGCTACAGTAGATGGGGAACCGATTATTGCTCCCCCATGATATTTTGTAAACTGGATTTATGACAAAGAACTGCACAGATGAAATCTTTTGATAAACACACCTTGTCCTCTGTTTCTCGCTCTGTGCCGCCGCGGTCTGCGGATTGAAAAAGAACGCCCTGAAAGACGGGGAGGAGCCGAGGAGCCGTTTTTATTATGAAATTTAAAGGGGACTGAGGCGATCACGAATTCGTGTACAGTTTATGGAGCTAATTGCAAAATTTTAGGGGGTCTGAGAAGTCATTTTGTGACTACAAAAATGGCCTAGCGACACCCATGTGTCTAACTATCATGAATACTGATGTGTGTGTCGAGTTTCATGAAACTCTGCATGTTAAGTGCCTTAAAAACACCTGTTAAGAATATTCAAGTTTGACACGTTGCCATGGCAACAGTATTTAGATATCAAGAATCCCTTCGTAGTTTTACATCTCAAGTGTTTTCACATTATTCTGATGAAGTTTGAAGCAAATCGGGTAAAAATAAGCATGTGAGATCAAAGCATTTTTTAAAAGAGACACTTCATGCTGCCAGTTGGTGGCGCTATAACTTTGACTCATAATAGTCACATCTATGTGATCGGCCTCATACAATGAACAAACTGCTGAAGTTTGATCAAAATCAGACAATGTGTGCAAAAGTTATTAGACACTTCCTTTTTCTAATTTCTCGCCATAAATTTGTCGCCTTGCCACGGCCAAACCATTCGAGATATCAAAAATCCCTTCGCAATTTTGCATCCCCCATGTCTTGAGATCATGTTGACCGAGTTTGGTGGCGATTGGATGAAAAGCCTAGGAGGAGCCCCCTAGGGGCTCGGGCCCTAAAAATAACAACTCATTCAAAATATTGAACCTATAATAATATCTCATTCTGAACAACACTGAATTGGACCAATTTGTACCCTATTCATGGAAAGTGTCAATAGAGCTCCTCAAATGCATCATCTTGTGTCAGATTTCAGTTTCTTTCGTATTTAACATGAATGAGGAGTAAATGCTCTTACCTGATGGCACAGGCCAGCTGATACGGGCTGCTGACCCAGGCTGTGGCCTTCAGCGTCTGTCCGTCAGGCAGCTGGACGCTGATGGAGTGACCGCCGGCCGCCCGCTCCACCAGAAGAGCATCGCTCTCCTTCTTCAGCCGCTCATAAAGCTGCAAACGACCAGAGACGAATGCAGGCCACGGGTTCAGCTGCTCCGGTGCATGAGAGACAGATAGAGAAAGAGAGAGAGAGGGGGGGGTGATGTGGTCAGTATACGGTCTAATATGAGCTCTGAGAGCAGCTGAGCTGTTAAACGCCACATGAATGATGCTGATGCAATGACACAGCAATCACACTGACCACGTGTGTGTGTGTGTGTGTGTGTGTGTATTAGTGCACCTCTGCCTTCACTTTCTCCTTCTTGTTTTTCTCTTGAACATCTGATGCACTGGATCGAGACGGAGCAGCATTCTGCTGAAACACACAAAAACAAACACTATCAAACATTATGCAATATTGCTTGTGTATTAATGAACAGCACATTCATGCTTATTTATTTTTTTTCTAATTGGCAAAATGACATGAATTTAAGTTCATACAACAAAATTTAAACATTTACATTTATGCATTTAGCAAATGCTTTTGTCCAAAGCAACTTACTTACAAAAGAGGAACAAAGCATACAATTATTTTTTTTTGCTGGAAAGACTTAATGTAATTGAAACAGTATGTTCATATTCTCATTTACCTACATGCTTTTAACTAAAAAGTTTTAAGACGATAGATAGATAGATAGACAGATAGATAGATAGATAGATATAGATAGAAATGCAGATAGATAGAAAGAAATGCAGATGATAGATAGATATTCAGAAAGATAGATAGATAGATATTCAGAAAGATAGATAGATATTCAGAAAGTCAGAAAGATAGATAGATAGATAGATAGAAATTCAGATAGATAGATAGATAGAAATTCAGATAGATAGATAGATAGATAGACCTTTGGACGGCTCTTCTCCTTTGGTTCTTCAGGCTTGCTCTGGCTCTTCTGTGTGTTTGTCCTCTGGTTCTGGTTCTGATCTGGTTCGCTCGTCCTCTGCTTCTGGTTCTGGTTCTGATCTGGTTCGCTCATCCTCTGGTTCTGGTTGTGGCTGTGCTCCTCCAGCTCCTGCTCGGCTCGGAGGCTCCGGCTGAGGTGCAGCAGCCGGTACTGGAGCTTCTCGTTCTCGGCGCGCAGCGCGTCCAGGCTCGGGCCGCTGGCCAGGGTGCTGAAGTCGAACCCGCCGGTCAGTCCGTCCCGCAGGCGGAGGATCTCACGACTCAACGCCTCGATCTGCTCCTCCTGAGCGGACAAACGTGCAGCCATGCGCTCCGCCATCTTCAGCCTCACAGCTGACGGGATCCGAACCGAGAACAGCGGAATGTGACCGGAAATAATAGATCCGATCATTCCTGCAGGAGGCGCTCGGTGGCCCGGACAGACGAATCTCCTTTGATATATGTGTGTTTTATAAAGGTTTTTCAGCCTGTTTTTTAATTGCGTGTAAAGATGAGGTCGAGCTGGTTAGCTGATATGTGTACCTGTGGTGTTGAGCCGCCGAGGGTCGAAAGAGGCTAAATAAAATAATAATAGTAGCACATTAACGAGAAAAATACATAATGATTAAATAAAAAGTCTACACTATCAAATATAACTGACACATAAAGTAACAAAACAATAATTTACACCTAAATAATGATAGAAATAGACTTTACTAGTCATTCATTTTAAAATACAGTGAAAAATAAAAATAAATTATGCAAACACATTTGCATCCGACCAATCAGAGGCAACGCCCCGCCCATTTTCACACCCTAGCGTTGATGCCGCTGTCCGTTCTACGCGTTCTATTCTATTAATATATAATCTGACGCGTCGCGCAGCGCCACCTGCCGACCAGCTTCACATGACGCTATTTATAACAACAGCGTGACACATGAGATCAGAAATACACTTCAGTCATTTACAGTCATCTCTCCTGTGAAAAAAATAACACACAAGTACATATAACAGCCTAATCTTGTCAACACTGACCAAAAGCTGTCAAACGTTTACAAACAATAGTGCACAGAGCATAAGCTTCAGTGATTCATTTTATTTTGTGTATACGTGCACGAATTAATCCATATCACGCTTATTAATTCATTTTGACCCCATTTTACATACTGGTAAAAAAAAAAAAAATGTATAGCCTGAATGCACTGTAAGTCGCTTTGGATAAAAGCGTCTGCTAAATGCATAAATGTAAAGTAAAGTAAATGGAGTTGCAGTACCCAATCCGGCCGGCAGGTGACGTCAGTGACGCGCGCTAGATCCCGCTGCGTCGTGACAGCGGCGATGACGTCACTGCGCGGAAGTAAACAGACCGCAGCGCTTCATCTGTAAACACGTTTATGAAATGTATAATATTATATGATCATTAAGTACGTAATATACGACTGTCATTGATAAAGTAAGCAGCCCGTGGTTGAATCGCACGCTTGAATGGCTCTGATCAGGGCAGGAGAAAGCGCTGTGCTCGTGATTATGCTGTAAATATTATCGATTATCGATTGATTGATTGATGTTCGGTTCGGAATGGCTGCGGGTTTCGCTCCGCCGAAGCTCAAAGACTTTATTCTCACCGAGAAACTGGGAAGCGGCACATATGCGACAGTTTATAAAGCTTTCAGAAAGGCGAGTGATTGTTGATATCTGATTATTGATGAATAGCCAGAAGCATATTATGTTGATTGATTGATTATTTACTTTCTTGTTCGTCTACTACTTTACTGTTTTAATTGACTGGTTGTGTGTTATTTATTTGAACGTTTTCTTCTTCCATTGATTGGTGGTTGTGTAGATCAGTGGTTCCCAACACTGGTCCTTGAGGCACCCCAACACTGCACATTTGGCATGTCTCCTTTCTCTGCCACTCCAGCTTCAGGTCTTGGAGTCTCTACTAATGAGATGATGACCTGAATCAGGTGTGTTTGATTAAGGAGACATGCAAAACGTGTTGGGGTGCCTCAAGGAGCAGTGTTGGGAACCACTGGTGTAGATCATTTGCAGGTTTTGATTGACAGATTGATTGTTTCAGACTGACAGCAGGGAGGCGGTGGCTGTGAAGGTGGTCAGCAAGAAAAGTCTGAATAAAAGCTCAATGGAGAACCTGCTGACAGAGATTGAGATCCTGAAAACAGTCCGGCATCCTCACATAGTGCAGCTCAAAGACTTCCAGGTACAAACACAAATAAAGATTCCCATGCCTTTTAAGAACAATGTGCATTTACTTTTAAATTGTAGTGTATTTAGATTTAGTTGAATAATTGAATAACCAATGACAGACAAAGCAGAATCTGAAAGCTAGAATTATATACTTAGACTTATATACAGGCATATGAATATTTACATTTTTAATTGAAGATATGTCATAATAGCAACACTGTGAATGCAGCTTTAATGAGTTCACTCAATTAGCCTATAGTTTTTAATTAAAGCAAAGATGTCTGAGATGTACATCTAATTTATGGAAATATTAAATAAGAATACCATTAATTACAAAAAGTATTAAATTTAAAAATAATAACATGCTAATTCTGCTGGCCCATCTTACCCCAAGGGCCTAATTTTATCTTTTTACTATTTTACCAGAAAATAAGCCTACAATTTTTACTCCACAAGTCCAAAAACTCTAATGTGTCCACCAATCCCTCATTAACAAATAGTCACTAAAAACTTTTATTTTTAACATAATACATAATGTCATAGGTCGCTATTTTCCAGAGGCACACAATTAGATCAATTAACCTCAAAACTGTTTTGACTGAATAAATCTTTCAAATGTTATTCAGATAAAAATAAGAAAATTAAAAATGAACGATGTTGTGGCTCATCTTACCCCGCGTTCCTCTGTCTGTCAGTGGGACAGTGATAACATCTATCTGATTCTGGAATGGTGTTCAGGAGGAGATCTGTCCCGTTTTATCCGCAGTTGCCGGATTCTTCCGGAAAGTGTCGCTCGTCGCTGCCTACAGCAGATCGGTACACACACAGACACACACACACACACACACACACACACACCACAGGATCTATACTGATGAAATGTGTGTGTTTCAGCATGCGCTCTTCAGTTTCTCCATGAGAAGAACATCTCTCATCTGGACCTCAAACCGCAGAACATCCTGCTGAGTGGAAACGTGCTGAAGCTCGCAGGTGAAACTTCACAACACGCGTGATTTGAGGAATCATTCGAACACTGCAGGACGAATCTAAACTTTCAGGTTTCAGCACATCACTATCAGCACTAGTGCTACACTTGAAGAAAAGTCCGTAAAAATTAGGTCTAATGTCCTGTATTCAAATGAAGACATTTTCCGGTATGATTTTTCACAGGCGTTTTACTTATGCATTGCATTGTTTTGTGTTTTAAGGTTAAAGGAATTGTCTGCAAACTTAACGGATAATATCCTGGCAGAACATTTCCATTACCTTTTCTGTTTTTATCTTATAGTGTAGTAACGATCGATTTAAACACAACTAATAATGTATGTAATTCAAAAGTTTAAAAAGTTTCTGCAAGTTTTATGAAAGTAAATTTAAGATTCCATTACTTTTCAATTACTTTTACACACAAAAAAAGTTTATGGTTTAAATATCTCTGCCCTCAACCACAAGAATATGGAAATAACTTTTACTGTACCTTCTGATCTGTTTTTGTCTTGTTTTCCAAAGATTCTTAAATCAAGATACATTTACTTGAAGCAAAATGATAGTAGTCTTGTTTTGATCAAAATGAAGTGAGTTTATGGTTAAAACATAGAAAAATCAACTTAATTCAAAGGGAAAACAGGTTTCCATTCCCCAATGACAGATATTTGGGTAACACTTTATTTTAGGGTCTCGAATATTAGCCATTTATTAGTACTAGTTAGGCACATATTAATGCCTTATTCTACATTCCTAATCCTACCCAATACCTAAATTTAACAACTACCTTACTAACTATTAACACGCAGCAAATTAGGAATTTATTGAGGGAAAAGTCGTAGTTAATAGTGAATAAGTGTTCCCTATTCTAAAGTGTTACCGATATTTGTTCTTGCTTTAAGCATAAACTAAAAATAACATTTAATTTTGTTCAGTTTCCCAGATAACAAGACTTCATATCTTCAATTTGCATCTCCAGTAAATGCATCTTGATTTAAGGATGTGTAGATACACACACACACACACACACACACAGTCAGGAAAACAAGACAGTGCATGCAACATTTATTTAAGACTTTCTGCTCTGATTTAAGACCTTAATTTAAATTTTAATCTGAGACTTTTTATTATCTCAATAAATGTTTTCTAGAGGTTCACAGGGGTTTGTTCACATGCCTGACGTCATTTGAACGAGTCTGATGTGATATTTTACTTCTCAGCATCTCATAATAAGGTGACTAATGGGTTGTGTGTAGATTTTGGTTTTGCGCAGTACATGAGCCCATGGGACGAGCAGCAGGCTCTGAGAGGCTCTCCGCTCTACATGGCTCCAGAGATGGTGTGCAGACGGCATTATGACGCTCGAGTGGATCTGTGGTCCGTCGGGGTCATCTTATACGGTGAGACACACTAATAACTCTAGATTTAAAGAAATAATTCATCATTTACTCACCCTCATGTTGTTCTAAACCTGTATGACTTTGTTCCTTCTATTTTTGTCCACATAATGAAAGTCAGTGGGGTCCAGTGTTATGTTAACTCCAACATTCTTCAAAATATCTTAATTTGTGAAAGTCTTGCAACATATTCAGCAGCACGACTGTTTTCAACATTGATGATAATAATAAATGTTTCTTGAGCAGCACATCAGCATATTAGAATGATTTCTGAAGATCATGTGTCATTATTATTCCAAAGTTTTGACCGGCTGTTTGTGTGTCTTTTTGAGGGCAGAAGCTTTATTTGGACGAGCTCCCTTCGCCTCTCGCTCTTTTGCTGAACTAGAAGAGAAGATCCGCAGTGAGAAACCCATCGAGGTGAGAATTAATGACTCACTCGTGTTCACACTGCTATACAAAGGAGTTTTGTTATAATAATCAATGGTATTTTCATTGGACAAAATCATTAAATGTTACAAAATCTAATGTTTTGTTTAAAGGAATAGTTCACCAAAAATGAATATTAGCTGAAAATGTTCTCACTCTCAGTCTTTCCGAGATTAGGATGAGTTTGTTTCTTCGTCAGATTTGGAGAAATGTAGCATTGCATCACTTGCTCTGCAGTGAATGGGTGCCGTCAGAATGAGAGTCCAAACAGCTGATAAAAACATCACAATAATCCACAAGTAATCCACAGCACTCCAGTCCATCAGTTAACATCTGGAGAAGACAAAAGCTGAAACTAACACTTCTTACATGTTTATTTTAGTCCTGAAGTGGCAAAACCGCCGCTGCTCGTCTCCAGTGTCAGACGAAACTTCAGCAAATGTGTCACACAGATGCTGCTCTACAAACACGCAAACACTCGTTCAGTGCAGAGTTAGATCACGTGGGTCTGTTCGTTTGTTTTAGAGCTGGTTTCTGCCACTGATTTCCTCATTCAATTAGATTCTGATTCATAAGCTCTTGATTCAATTCAGTTTTATTTATTTATTTTTCATTTTACGCCACATCAGCATCAAAGGCTATATTAAAACTCAAGAATAATAAGTTTTAAAATAGCGTCAATAACAATACTTCAATGCATTGTATACTAGAATTTAACAATATTGTTTGTTTTGTTTTTTTACGAACAAAGTCATTTTTTAAAACAATTTAAATAATTTAAAAAAAAAAATCTAATATTTTTCAATCAGGTTTTACAAAATGTTCATTAATGTTCTTTTTGAGTAAAAATGTTTCCTAGTATCTTTTAAAGCAGAACACTCTAATAAAATATGTATTTAATTCAGATTTTAGGTAGCATTTTATTATTATTATTAGCCATCCTGATTTAGATAAATGTCTGTAGTCATTTGCATTGCATTTTTTGAGTGAAACCGTTTAAGGATCCACTTAAAAAGGCATTAGTCTTGGAATTTTAAGAATGAAATGTTGCATTGTTAAAATCACAACTAATGAAAAAATTTATCTTTATTTTTACCCAGCCATTTGTTGAAGTGTGCACTTTTCTCTAAATGCATGTGTAATTATGACAAACATCAGATATACACTACAAAAATGATTGTTTTCCAATAGTAAAAATATCTAAAATGACTTGAATCAAGATACATTTACCTGAGAAGCATATTAAGAAGATATTAAGTCTTGTTTTCTAAAAAAAATTTATCAAAATCAAGTGAGTTTAAGCTTAAAGCTAGAAAATTATCCTTCATCGAAGTCAGAAATATAAACTAAATTCAAAAGAAAAACAAGATTTTTTTTCTGGTTTTAAGCTTAAGCTCACTTCATTTTGAATGTACTTTGATTTAAGAATGTTTAGATATTTGTACTGAAAAAAACAATACAAAAATACTAAGTAAGAAAGTCATGTTTTGCAGTGTGTGAACTGTATTTGTCTTCTAGAAAGCGCTGGTGTTGCAGGCGGTGCAGAAGGACCAGGATGGAGAGCGATCGGCTGCGTTATCTCTCTACTGTAGTGCACTCGAACACTTTGTTCCTGCCATTCACTGTAAGACACAAACGTCTCAGTCGCTCTGTGTTACATGAGTCCGCAGAGCTCCGCTTCACTCTCATCATCTCTGTCTCTGCACTTTCAGATGAGACGGACAGACAGAGGAAGGAAGCACTGAGACAAAAGGTAAATAAAATCATTTACTCACTATCATGGTGTTCCAAACCCGTGGGAACTGAGGCTCTTAAATGAAAAAGAAGCAATTATAAAGTTAGTTCATAACGCTAATCCAATGAATGAGAACAATAGATGTGACTCTTCATTTGTTTTCTTTCAGGTGAATCAGTATGTTTCTCGTGCCGAGGAGCTCAAAGCGCTGGTCAGATCGGACAACAAGATCACTTTTGAGAAGGCAAAATCAACCAGGAACATATTAATAGGTAGGCAGTTCTGCATTACTGATTTCTAATATCTAACTCCTGTTTTGACTTTCAAGTGTTTCGTTGTTCACAGAAATGTCCAGAGATCAGCCGCGTTTACTGGCTGCCCTGGAAGTGGCGTCCACTGCTGTTGCCCAGGTAACGGTTATGATGGCTCATTTGCATATGCGTCATGTGAGCTGCGGTGTTGCATGTTGGGTGATGGAGTTGCGATGTGTGCAGGAGGAGAGCGGCGCGGAGGACTATGACACGCTTGATTTATACCAGCAGAGTCTGGGCGAGCTGCTGCTGGCGCTAGCAGGTAAATGTTCATTTGTATTAACTATTATTATTATTATTTATAAAACACAGGTGTAAGTTTTATATATGAAGCCTAGCAACCATCAAGAACACCCTAGCAACCACCTAGTAACAACTTAAAATACCATAGCAACCACCAGGCAACAGCCTAGCAACCATCAAAATACCCTAGTAACTGCTTAGCAACGGGTGTGAAAACTCAGAACACCCTAACAACCACCTAGCAACAGCCTAGCAACCATCTAGAACACCCTCGCAACCACCCAGTAATAACCCAGAATACCATAGCAACCACTGAGCAACAGCCTAGCAATATCCCAAATACCCAAGCAACTGCTTAGCAACGGGTGTAAACACTCAGAACACCCTAGCAACCACTTAGTAACAACACAGAATACCATAGCAACCACCTAGCAATAGCCAAGCAACCACCTACCAATAACCCAGAATAACATATCAACCATCAAGCAAAAGCTTAGCAGCCATAAGAATACCCTAGCAACTGCTTAGCAACGTGTGGAAACACTCAGAACACCCTACCAACCACCTAGTAACAACACAGAAAACCATAGCAACCACTGATCAACAGCCTAGTAACCATCAGAATTCCATAACAACTGCTTGTAAACACTCAGAACATCCTAAAAACCACCTAGCAACAATCAGAATACCCTAGCAACTGCTTAGCAACAGGTGTAAACACTCAGAGCACTCACCTAGTGAGAGCCTAGCAACCATCCAGAACACCCTTGCAACCACCTAGTAACAACACAGAATACGATAGCAACCACTGAGAAACAGCCTAGCAACCATCAGAATACCCTAGCAATTGCTTAGCAACAGGTGTAAATACTCAGAACACCCTAGAAACCACCTAGCAACAGCCTAGCAACCATCCAGAACACCCTAGCAACCACATAGTAACAATACAGAATACCATAGCAACCACCAAGCAACAGTCTAGCAACCATCAGAATACCCTAGCAACTGCTTAGCAACAGGTGTAAACACTCAGAACACCCTAGAAACAGCCTAGCAACCACCTAGTAACAACACAGAATACCATAGCAACCACCCAGTACCGTACACACTGGTGAGTGAGTATTGGACAAACATCACTGACATTTTTTCCTGAAAATTAAAAATGTGGTTCTTCATAATCTGATGAGCGTTATAGAAGACGGCGAGGTGGAGGGACGTCAGGCATCCAGATGTGGCGGTGAGTGGTTGCCAGGTCAGCGTGTGTGGTACGATCATCTCGCTGCCATCTGGATCTCATTGAGAGCAGCTCTCTTCATTCTCAGAGTTATTAAATACTGAACCAAATGAAAACTGTTATCTCTCAAACTCCTCGAGAGCTCCAGACCCTCTCCACTCCCAGAACTCTGCTGGATTCCCGCCTCACTGCAGGGTTTTTTGGCCGTTACGCACCCGATGTTGATCTGTTACGGTGCTAATGCCAGCGCTGGCCTAATCAAAACAGCCGCCAGGCTGCTTTAGTGCTCAGTGTGCAAGACTGTTTAACAGTTAGCGCAGGCATCTGCAAGAGATAATACGACTGGTTGTGGAGCATTTAAAGAAGATGTGCTGCCCAAATTTGGAAGCTCTCTTCATTAACTGTAAGCCTTTTTATTCACCGCGGGAGTTGTCCTCGTTTATTCTGGTGAGTGTGTACATTCCTTCTGACGCGCGTGTGAGCGCCGCGCTAGAACTGTTGGCCGATCAGATCACACACACAGAACAACGTTGGGCTCCGAATATAATTCGAATTAACAATTCGTTTCTACGAAGTCAGCAGGTTTGATTATTTTTTTAATTAATTTATTATTATTTATTAATTTTAAGCAATAATGATTTTAATAAGTAATTACGAAATATAATAATTCGTTCCGGAGCCACAACGGTACGCACAATAGGTCAATATTCACTATTAACCAAACGCTTTTCACCTGTCTCAGCATCTCTCACTGTTTACACTTTTAATCCGTAATAGAGAGCGTGTCACACCTTCCTCAAGACCTTTTACCGTTTGCACTCCACTTGATGCACTTAAACAAACAGACAGTGCAAATCTACACGTATTTACCTATTTGCCGCCTATATCTTATTCCTATCTAATAGCCTGTGTGCACCTGCCTCAAGATCTCTCAGTCTGTTTACGATCCGATAGATGCATGTGACAAAACAGAAAATGCTGCTACTCTTACTTACTCTGCCTGCCCCACTTGACACTTCACCAGTCAGATCTAGGTGCAGCTGTCGCAGAACACGCCACAGCCAAGGCAAGATAACATTAAAAATCACCTGCATCAATCGCGGTGTCCAGTGGCTGTAACTAGTGAGAGATCTTGAGGCAGGCGCAACGCTTTGGTGCCACGTACCGGACGCGAACTCCATAACGGATTAAAACGGTTGAATAAAATATAAAGTAAGGTGGAAAATAAGTATAGATTTGCACTGTCTGTTTGTTTAAGTGCATCAAGTGGAGTGCAAACGGTAAAAGGTCTTGAGGCAGGTGTGACACGCTCTCTATTACGGATTAAAAGTGTAAGTGAGTGTAAACTATATAAAATAGTTTATTAACTCCAGAGTGAAGAAACGGGCAGGAAACATCATCAAAGACCCCTCTCACCCCGGACACAACCTGTTTGCACTTCTCCCTTCAGGCAGACGCTACAGATCTCTGTGCACTAGAACATCTAGGCATAAAAACAGTTTTTTCCCCCATGCCATCTCCAGCTTAAACAGCTAACATATGAATCATTACCTGTGTTCTGTAATTCATTTCGTAATTCATTCTACATCCTTAATTATTGCCTCTTTCTCAAGTATTATGTAAATACATATGCATATCTCTTTATTTATACAGTTCTATATAGAGTAAATAATGCACAAATCTGTACATGCACAAATCTACTGTTCCAGATTCATACACATTATTTATTGTTAAGTTTTTACTATTTAAATGTTTTTTTTGTTTGTTTTTTTTCTGTTCTCATGTCAGATATGTATGTATGTACCAGGAGCACCTTAAAAAAAAAAAAACACAACAAATTCCTCGTGTGTTTGCACACACCTGGCGAATAAAGCTAATTCTGATTCTGATTTCTCGATTACTCGGTTTATTCTGCTGCTCATTGGTAAGTTAAGCATAAGGGTTTGTTCAGATCACTAAATATTCAGCTGTTGTGCTGTTACTTTACCGATAAAGAAACGGACAAAAACAATCCCACCGATTTACACTGAAGAAGAGACTTTATTTAATACTTTCATTGCTCTTGCAACTACATAGCAATGTGCTAAAACCCCCACAAAAAAACATAACAGCATAGAATAATGTTAAATTCCACTCAGAACACCATAGCAACTACATAGCAACGTGCTAAAACCCGCTAGTTACTCTCTGGAGGTTTAAAAGCAGAAGTCAGCATTCGTCAGTGTTATCATGTGTGTATATATGTATGGAAAGTGAAGCCGTCCGCAGTGGTGTGTGTTGTTATGAGCTGATATGTTTGTCTGTCTCCTGCAGCTGAATCTCAGGGCCGGCGCAGAGAGCTGCTCCACAGCGAGGTGAGAAGATCACTATTTATGTGCTTGTGACGTCTGAATGAAACCCTGAGTGCTCCATATGTCATTATGGGCTCATGAACGGCTGTCACATGACTCATGCATCAGACGCAATCTGCACAAAAACCACATTCCAATATCAAGGCTTTAAAGGTGCTGATGTCATTTTTTCATGCTAGAAACATGCTAACAACATGCTAATCATGCTAGAAACATGTTAGCAACATGTTAATCATGGGATAGGGGTAGGGTTAGAACTAGCAACATGATGATCATGCAAAAAGTTTTAACAACTTTCTAATCATGTTACAAACATGATAATCATGTTAGAAATATGTTAACAACATGCAAGCAACTTGTTAATCATGCTAGAAACATGCTAATCATGCTAAAAATGGTAACAACATGATAATCATGTTAGAAATATGTTAACAACATGCAAGCAACTTGTTAATCATGCTAGAAACATGCTAATCATGCTAAAAATGGTAACAACATGATAATCATTCTAGAAACAGGCTATCAACA